TCGTACAACTGAACAACAAAATTATCTTTGTTGAGCTTTCAAAACGCACGTGTAACGTCCGTGCGACAACGTCTTGAGATTTTCTGCGTAAACTCGCGGTACCGCACGTTAACGTTCGGTTTCGTGCCCTCATGTGATAGTACATAAATACTATGATATCTAAACGTGCGGTTAGAAAACGTGCGTTAACGCACGTTGAATATTTATTCATCTGAACTAAGAGTGGCGACCGGCCGTATCTTGTGAATACTTTTTTAGAATGACGCCCTATTTCAGGATATCGACCGCATATTCCCTATCAGCAAATACTCTATTTTCTAGATTTTCAAAATAAACACTAAGCATTTCATATTCTTCTTCATTTGAATAATAAGGCAGTACAAAAGCGTCAGTTTGAAAACGTTAAAAAAACTTAAAACTAAACAATAATAAAACATTGTTATTTCCAAAGATAACTGAATGACTTTTGAATCATCTCCGAACAATTTAAAACAAAATTCTTAATATTATAGTTCATCCACAAACTATTAGAGACCTTTTAAGAGATTTGGGGTTAAATTTTTAAAGTCTGACATTTTTCATAGCCTCTCTATCTGTAAAGTGGGAAGGGTGGGTTGCTCTACAGTACTTAGGCCTCATAAGGCACATTGTGTATTCCCTACCTGCCTTTCAACTTGTTCAAAACCTACTGGTTGTCGCTGAGATACCCATCTTCTCAGCTCATCAAAGTCCTACGAGTTATTAACTCGTCAAAAATCTGCTTCTTGAAGCTGAGGGGTGTCTAGAGATAGCCATCTTCTCAGATCGTTAAAGTCCTGCAGGTTATCAACTTATGAAAAACCTGCTGGTTGTCGCTGGGGATGCAGAGGGATAGTCAGCCTTTCAGGTTAATAACAGTTCCGAGAGGTGTCTGCAGATGCCTAATTTTTTGGAAGTGACCATTTGGTGAGCTTCTACAACCCCATTGGTAAATGCTTGGGTGAAGTCATTCTGTCCGCTTGTTCCACAGGTCAAAATTTGTTCATAGCATTTTGAGTATGTAAAATAATTTTATTAGAGAGTAGGTGATTTTTTTTTGCGTTTTGTAAATTTCTAATATGAATTTAGTTTTATTATGTTTCATTAAGGCGATTCTTACTGGGCGCTTAAATCACACTATGCTCACGATCCTCTATCAAGAATGTGAGGTAGTATTCACATGGTACACTCAACAGGCGTCATTTCCTTCCATTTTCTATTTTTTAATGCCATGTCTCTGATATTTCGAACTAATTCAATTAGTTGTCCATTCATCACAACATTGTTACTAGTACGCACTGAGGCAAAGGTACTCTCACGATTCGTTTAAAATATCCTCAAAGAGAAAGACAACAAATAAAAATATTTCCATTTAAGTAGCGTGTCACAATATTTTGTCCTTAGACTCATACCCTCCTATCTCTCATATTAGTGCTAGGTAAACTCCTTGAACTAATGCTCAAGGAAATAATCTGGGACCGTTGTGAAGAGTAAAACATAATTCCTCAATCCCAACATGGCTTTAAACCTTATTACTCCACTCAAGATGCAATCTCCTCACTTCATACTACTGCGGTCACTGCAGTACAATCTCTTCAACCGTTCTTCTTGATGTTCAAAAAGACTTTGTAGTTTCTGCTTGTTATTTGTTTCTTTAAATAATTTTAGCACATAACTTACAGGGTGAGCCACAACTCATCAAAATTAAAAAAAAAATATCTCTGGAATGACAAGAGTTATCAATTTACGATTTTGAAAGGTCAATAAGACATCTTTTTTGTATTTTTGTAGGCTGGTTAGAGTTGTAGCAGTGTATTTGAAACTTCTAAGAACAAAATCAAAAATAGAGCTGGGTGTTACATAACGCCCTATCGTCCTAGTTCTTGAAATCTTTAATTTTTAATGTATGAACTCTACGTTTGTGAAAATCGGTTCAAGCACATGGAAATTCCAGTCTTTGTACGCTTCCTACACTACTTCAAAATATGTGATACAAAAAATTAATTGAATAAAATTTGTAGTATAAGAACGTTAGTTTCTAAAGATGATATTGTTTACCAACCTTAATAGATTGCGCCACCTAGTGGCAAACTACGGACATACAAATATTTTTAAGCATTTTTTTTTAAAAGCTGATTTTAATATAAGAATTTTTTTCACCAAATGGTAGGTGCTGAATCACCCTGTGTAAGTGGCAAATAAAAAAAGGAATTATCAAAATCCAGTAATAAACGTGCGTATGACTCAGAGTTGGATATTGCTTATTATAGGAGATCAACAATTCAGATACAAATATTTTGTAAAATTACCTGCTTATTTGAATTAGCTTGCAATAATTTAATAGGTAGGTCTTCATATGCATATGCATGTCTAAGTTTTGGTCAGTATGGGCCATCATCAGGTCTAATATTACTAATTCAAATGAGGCGTAATAGTTGAAGCAGACAACACTTAACTAGTTGCGATACAGAAAGTGATAACGTAAAGTTAATGGTAATGTTTGAATAGGAGGCTTAAAATACCAACAAAAACGTTTGTTTAATGTCAAGTAGGCGCGGGGAGGGAAAGGTAAAAAGTAGAAATTGAGTGCAGTTATCATTTAAACATAAATAATAAAATTATGTAGTAAATTATCTAGTTTTGTTTCCTTGCTTCATATTCAAAAATACTGGATTTCTTTTCCTGCTTTTGCGGACACTGGAGGAATTACTACCACATAGAATCTGAATATTCTGGAGCAATCTGACAATGGAGAGAATGCCACTCCACCACAGCCAGCACCTGTACCTAGCTGGAAGATCAACAGAAGCTGCTCTAGTACAGCTGACTGACGAAATACACAATGCACTGACAGAGACAAAGGTTATGTCGGCGATATAGTCCTTAGACTAGGTAATTAGTCTAAGATATAGTCATATTTGCTAGAGGCAAGTTTAAATATATCTGTGCGATATAGTCCAAAAATGACTAAAAATGGTGCAACGAGGTGGGACTCAACGCCATTAAAAAAACACTAGTATCCTTTTTAGGGTAAAGAGTACACACAAAATTGCCAAATTAGACGGAATAGATATAGAATGAAAAAAGAAATCAAATATCTAGGCCTAAACCTGGACAACAAACTTATCTGCGAATCAAGTAGAAAAATAAGAACACAAAAACCCTAATGACATGCAGAAACATTGCGGGAAAAGATGGCCATGTAACCCGAACACTCTGCGATGGATGTATACAGCAAAAGGACGACCAATGATCACTTGCGGTGCTGTAGCCTGGAGTAACAGAACTAGTTTAGCTATTCCAAGAGCTAATTTTTTAAAAGTATAAAGACTAGCCTGTGTTTGCATCACGTTTCTTACGGCCGCAATGGACGTAATCTTAAAACTCACCAATCTACATTTAATGGTAGAGAACGTGACAAGATATAAAATGATCAAGAACAGAGTAATCAGACGGAAGTCTATTAGCTCCAGGACTGAAGATAACTTGCGGTATACCACAGGACGAAATGAGAAAGAAGTACAGTTTTGTAAAAAACTTCATACCAACAGAACTGGACTGCGAGAAAAAAATGGAGTAAAGAATCCATCGTGTTTTTCACCAAAAGGGCCTGCAATTCAGTGGTATATGGATGGTTCCAAAACCACAGAAGTAACTGGAATAGGAGTGCATGGGCCTAGAATTTTAAAAGTTTGAGTAAATAGCAGGTGAAAATTCACGCCATTGAGAAGTGTATCCAGTTCCACATCGAGACAAGATATAATCACCATGTGCAATAGCCAAGCAGCCATCAAAGCGTTAGGCAAGAATGATCAGGAGGTATCTAAAAAAACTGAATGTGTTTGGCAAGAAAAATACAGTTATTCTCACTTGGGTCCCAGGACATAACAAGGTAAAAGGTAACGATATTGCAGATACTCTCGCAAGGAAAGGGGCTCGAACACCCTTTGTGGGACCTGTGCCATTTTGCTGTAGCAGCAGTAACACAATATTAAGAGAGATTAAAAAAAAATTGGGCAGTAGAAGAACCGATAATTGGAATGATTTCTCGAGGCTAAGATACTTCTGCGTAACTATAAGCAGACAAGATTGATAGCCTGTCTGTCTGAGTAAGTGTTGTACATATTGTAACAGGGATTCTTAACGAGCATTACCGAAGGACACCTTAGTAAACTTGGACTATAAGAAGAGAGTGAGTGCATATTCTGTGAGGAGAAGGACAAAACCTCCAATCACATTCTGACTGAATGTGTTGCACTGGAGAATGCAAGGGGATCTATATTTAGGAGCATACCAAATAGAAGAAGGCGATCTACCTAACTTGAAGCCACTCCAAATCCTTCATTTCCTTAGGAAGATAGGATTGGAAGGGTCCTTATCAAGACTATTTCCTTGCTGCACTAGCGACAGAGGTCCTGCTGACGAACAGAGGACCTGAAATAGGTCAATAAATTATCCTGATGAGTCAAATAGGACTATAAAAGATTTGTAACCTATTTGTCGAGATGTACAAAGCAACAATTAAACGATGGTTGTATATGGAATGAATGGTGGAGCGACAATTCAATAATGAGAGAAGTTTATGGAATAAAGAACCGTTGGTCAAGTTCAGGATAGATCTATTAGGCTAACATCGACAAATCGTTAGAATAATAAACAATGCCTGTCCAACACATACAAGAAGCAGGATCTGCGAAGAAAAATAAAAAACATTATTCAATATTCTGTGTCATTTTGAAGGCCTAACTAGATTGGGATTTCTAACCTTAGCCGAAGAAAAAACTAGTATGTAGCTTCTACAATTGGTAGCAAATGTTAAAACTAGTTGTCAAATAAAAAAAGTTAAGACATTGTTATTTAAATAGCGGAATTCCACAATAAGGTCACAAAAAGTTAAGGTGAGTGAGAACAAATGTCCAACTTCTATAATAGTCTATATAACGGTTTAAAAATTAAGGGCTGATTTCATTAAAATTACAAAATAGTTTAAAATATATATTACAAAAATCAACAACAAATCAATTTTAATAGAACCTATGGTTATTGTTAACAAAGCTATTAGGTACACAATATTTGGTATTAATTTAGACATTTTAGATCATTCTAAACTAGGGTATCCAACAATTCTTTGGTTTGGTACAAACATTGACTTCTACTTCTTCTTTTTTCTATTTCTATCTGTTGCATTTTGCTGAACAGCAGTGCTTGAAGCATTTCGTGTTCTTGATCTTCGTTTACAAGTTCTTTGTGAAGATTTTCTAGGAACAATCTTCGATTTTCCAGTTTGTCCATGGTTTCTTCTAAAACTATTTCGTTGTGTTGCATTTCACAAGAACTCTTTATCATGTCAGTACGAAGTTTGGTTAAAGTTTCGCTGACATCAATATCGTTTTCTCTTTTCTCTTTTTCTTTTTTATGATACTTTTTCAGGTTTGCTTCTAGCCTGACTAAATTTTCTTCCTCTTTAAGGAGACGCTTGTTAAGTTTGTTTATTCTTTCAAATAAACCAACTTGTTCTTTTATAGTGGCCTCGCTTACAGTGGAACTGGAATCGTCATCTTTCGATTCTTTATTGGAGTCTTGCGAACAAGGAGAAAATCGCTCTGATAGTGTCTGCAAAAAATAATAAATATTTACTATTAAAAATCATAAAGACAGTTGATAAAAGAAATTAAAAAGAAAGTAGCCGAAGCAGATTTATCCTATATGAATAATTATGTTAAAGATTACAGCGAAAATATATAAATTTAAGAGTTTTAAATCGATAATTACTAGTTCTTGCTGTCCTAATAAGAACGAAACACCAAGAATGACATTCTCTTAAGTAAACAAAATCAAAGTTAAAATAATTCTATCTCTGTTGTTTTTATTTTGGTATAATTACATGCCTGTTGCGGTATTACCCAATTAAGTAGTTTCCCTGAGGAACATTGTATTATTTTGTGACACGTGGCATTGAGATTTGTGCTTGTTTTTCTTTATTTTAGATATATTTTGGTCACATTTAAGTTGGAAATTATTTTCCTTTTTGATACGACAACGTTCATAGGACGACATATTTAGTCCACCTATAATCAGTGTAATGGTATAAATTAACAAAAGAGTTTAATTATTTGAAATATATTGTACAAAAACGCGAAGAAGTGGATCGGATGCTACAATTATTAGAATAAGACAAGGTTGGTGAAGAGGAGGAATGCCAGTGACGTGGTATGTGATAGTTGAGCAAAGAAGCCTATAATTACTAAAAAAAATGAATAAAGGTTATTATCGGGGATATTAATTATTCATAACTTTTTAAAATTGGACTATACAATTTTCACACATTTTCCTGTGGTTATATTGTATATATGTTATGTGGAATTGAATTTGTATGCTTTAATTTTGCGTTGCTATTGCAGTGAACATAAAAAATTTTTGGAACAATTACAATATGTTAGTTTAATTATAGACAGTGGAAAAATTTCAGGAATGTGTAATATATATTGAAAGAAAAATGTCTTTCCTTTTAAAAACTATGCAAATAAAATGTTTAAAATACATTATAATAAATCATATCATACTAAAGAACATTTATCTCAGAAGTAAATATAATATTTAAGTTTTAGGCACGGCATTTTACTCTTTTTTAATCAAATCAGGACAGAGATTCTTATGTGCGAACTCAACACGTAACGAATCGAATAGAGAGAGAGACATTACATAAGAATCTTATTCTGTGGAGTGTGGAACGAAGATAGGCATCTCAACACATGTCCTATTGAAAGATGAGAATCCCAATGCAGATCCGAGATACGTAAAATAATGTACATTTGACATCCGTGCTAACATGTCTGGTTCAATTTGTAGTGCGTTGCCATATTATGTTTTAGAACTAGATTCTCTCTTTTAGTTTTTAACAAGTAATAAAATGCAACAGTACATAATTACGCTAAGTAATGAAAAGGTATCGTCGTATTCATGGACGTGTCTCGTCGGGCCCCGCCATTAAACAGTGGATGACAATATAGCAGGATTAAATAGCGCAAGATTCCAATAGCGCTGGTATAAAATAGAGCAGTACAAAACACCTCTATACCAAAAGAGCTAAAGAGGGACCAGTGCGGTTACAAAAACACGTAGAGAAAATAACGAAGAAAAAAAAATATAGCACTAAATAGCGACAAACAGACCTTTATTATTATTTATTATTACTATTAAATTTAAAAAAACACTTAACTAAATAACCTGACCTGTGCGGCCTAAAGCGCTAGTTTTTCTTTTGATATTTTAACTCAGCGCTTTTTAAATCCCTCGCCATTTTGTCGTTATTCTTTTACGTCTTGACGCCAATTTTCTAGGCGTTATCTGATCTAATCGCTTTTTGTTCTTGCGCTGTTTTGTTCTGGCTATGCTTCTTTTGCGCTATTCCGTTCCATGCTATATTGTCTTGAGCTATTCAATGACAATGTCGTCTCGTCGTCTCTAACATGGAACAGTGGCGCGTATACTCTAACAGGTAGATCACATTATTTTTATTTATTTATTGTATTTTTTTAATTTTTAAAAAATTAACCAGGTGTTACCCAGCTGTATCAAAACACTTCTGCGAAACGGTATCATTTTTCAAAGATGTATTTATACGATGGTATTCGCGAACATTTTCCAGGCTATATAGTAGATGATGTGGGAAATATTTGTTATTGTAAGAAAAAGATAAAATCATTTTTTGGCATAAAAATATGTAAAGGAAATTCGTATATATCGCAATGAGGGGAAAACATTTATTATGTGGACGTAATGTCATAGAAATCCTTTTTTCAAGGGTTCTCGACGGAATTGAAATCACCTTTGTATAAAGGATGTAATTTAATAATTACGCGTATTTGCAGTTTATATTTATTTAATAATGGGCAGAGATCTCTGATAATGGGGTTACATATGGCTACTGACGAATCAGCCTTTAAAAAACTTGTAACGCGCCACGATAATTAGGAATTCCAAACAAAATGGCTGCCCATGGGTAATGACAGCTTATGATATCGCAACCCAGTGAGTCAATGATATAAATTGATCATTAATGTTTTTCAAAATAAACATAAGATTACACCTTGAAGTAAATATGTAGTTAATTTTTTTTACTATATTCAAAGACTAAGAATTAGTTTTAAACACACACCCAGAGAAATATACCGCTAAAGAACGACTGCGATCTAATCTGAGTGTCTACTGAAACGAGATAGAATATTCCGCCATTTTGCCAGCTAATTGTCAGATTTAAGTGTCAACTTTCGATGTCAATAATGCCGATGCTATTTTAGAGTTTTGCATTGTTTTCGTTTATGTTCGTGAATTATACGAGCTTTCGAATGTTGTTCTGTCGTTCAGTCTCAATGTACCATCGCAATTTTCACACAGAGAGACCTTTACGGGGAAATTATGATTTGTTCTTCGATCCTGCATTGACGAACCCCCTGGGTTCTGAGCAGTCAAGCGACAGCATTATCTTACATTTTTTTCGAACGATGTAATCAATTTATCTGATTTTTAAAGTATTAGAAATATGTAATTATGCAAATTCACAAAATAATGTTAATAGTTGATGCATAAACAATTTTTTTTAATAATTATAAAATGCCTAGTAACAAAGGAGCTTGATGCAAGCAATTTGTTTAACAAAAACGCATAATGTTGGTTGCATACTGTCTGGCTTTCACATTACCATGCATTGTTGGTTGCATATATGCTTTGACAGATTTCTGGCAAAATGGCGGCTTATTAGACTTTTCAATTGTTGCCGTGTCGGATGTCTCTATTCCGCTGTATAGTCATCTAGGTGTGTGGTTTTAAAACACATTTTTGATTAATCAAAGTATGTGACAACGGCCCACAGGATTGACATGTGATAACCTCTCATTACCCACATGAAAAATTTTGACAGATCGTTGGAATGCCTAATACCTCAGCGGTGGTGTGGAAACGTACCAACGATTAGAGACCTCACTGAAAATAATTTTTGCATTAAATTTAAATGTATATTTAATAAAATTTCTTGCCACTATAAACATTTCATTCTGTCCTGTAAGCTCCAAAAATTTCTACAAATTTTAGAGCGATGACAGATGTCAGTATTTCATTACATATTCCTAAACTTTTTGCACTGTCTATAATTAATGTAACGTAGTATAGGGACCGTGCGTCATGACTTTAACGCTAACTGGTGACAAAAATTTGAACTTTATGGGGGATATTTATTAATATTTTATACGGCATTTATTGTTTAATAATTATTAATTAAATAAAGTCGAATTATTTACGTAATATCATTATCGAAAAAACTTGTTGCATCCGTGGATGTACGAACACATTACTTTGGAAACCTGGATTTCATTCGATAGTAAAGAAATTTTATGAATTTCCACAGAGCAGAATTAGTGTCTCACATCCAATGATATACATAATTATATAGATTGCTTATCCATATGTAAATCAGACAAAGAAAAACGTATTTCACTGGGCAAAGTTTTTTTTATCTAGCTTGTATCAATTTTGAGCACTTTGTTGTAAAGAAATCATTTACAGAACCGGTTTAGAAATTAGAATCTTTAGTGTTTTCTTGTCATTAAGATTTTTACATATTTAAATGAACATTTTATATAAATATAATTTTACAGATAATGGTTTATTCTGTTGATTAAAACTAATGTAGAACGTTACTATGAAATAAGTATGTCCAATTTGACAAAAATATCATAGCCTTCTTTATAATTTATTAACTATTTCTCATTTATTACTAAAATAAACAAATCATAAATAATACATTGCAAGTGCTGTCAGAAGAGATTGCAACAAACTTTAAAATATTAAAAATCCAGTGATTTTTGTAAGATTTTTTAGTGACATTACCATTAAAAATTATTCAGAATAATCCAATTACAACTCTTACCAAAGTTTATATCTCATATCAAAGTTGTTTACATTTTCTTTTCGAAATTGTATTACATATTGCAAGTATGTATTATATGTAGTGTTATTTCTGAAATGAGAGTAGTCTAAAGTTATTTATATCTATCTGTTTTAAAAATTGTTTAGATCTCTTAATATTATTTAACTACATGGAAACTCAACTGTCCAAATACATAATAACGTGTCTTGAAGTAAAACTTTAATTATTTTCTTTTTCTAAAGATTAAAATGCTGAAATTTTATATTAAAACACATTTGGGCTAGAACGGCTCTATTTAGTGAGAACTAGGAAAGGTACATTGCAACCCGCTTTTCGTAATTTTTTATAGATGGGTGAGCAATCTATAATATGTATATCACTGGGCGTCTCATAAACGTCAGTGGATGAATGACATTTCGTCTAACATAAAGCTAAAAAGAATTATTATTATTCCCAATCTTTTTTATTAATTTACATTTTTTAAATGTTATTGTAATACTTTTAAATTCAGTGTTACTAAATACCGATATTTTGACATTGGATACACTTGTTTGAGGTACAACTTTACAATTTATTGTCACTTTGTCATTTAAATGTTTTTGCTTAAAATGTATATGCATGTCCAGATTTTAATAATGTTTTACATTTTATATCATTTTGACCATGTACTCGATTGTTTGGTACGGACCGGTATCTATATTTAACTATATTTAATATTTTAAAAAATATCCTTTATTATTTACTTGCAATGTTTACCCCATTTAATTCTAAAATTAAACACTAGAGAGGGCTAACTTCGGCAGTAGTGCTGCCTCTATATTTCACGCACGGTCCCTATAGTGAAAAAAATTTTAAAGACAAAATGAAGATCATATTGTTTTAAAAATACGCTATTTTTGTACCTCTGCTGTTCTAGTCTGCTTATTAGACTGTTCACTGTCTCCTTCGGTCATTACGCCACTATCACTATTCTTATCAGCAATGAAGGTATCTTGTTCTGGGTCTACTGCTTCTGATAAGCCTTTTAGGTACGTCTCTAATAAATAATTACTGCCATGTTTTCTTACTCTGGCTCGATGGGTTTTGTCTTCTAGGTAACCAATTTGGTGCTCACTGTGCCTGAAACAAGACATATTTTTTATGATGGAAGTGTTTTTTAAGTTTGCTTAAATCCAATTATTTTTTAAGAAATATTGCATCTAATTATGATATTAGTCAAATGATATTCATATGTTTCCATTTAACCAAATAATAGCCAAATTTAGAAAATGAAATACATAAAACACTCAACTTAGTACAATATGAATATGAAATAAAATTGCGATGATATTGATCGTAGAATAAAATTTTGTAACGCTATTCATGTAATAATAATTTAACTTTCATTAATAATATTGTTTTTTTGAATGAATATAAATTTTATCTACATGACACCATTAGTTGACAAAAACGTAGATATTAGTAATCCTCACTTAGTGATGGGGTCATACATACATTAAATGTGTTCACAGGAATAGTATGTAATAAAATTGTTGCTCCTATCATCATAGATAATTTGATTACTTTAAAGTTTTGAGCTAGCGTTCACAACTCTGAAATTATTTTCAGATGACTTGAATAAGGTGGGTTTAGGTGACATCTCTCTCTATTGCTATAAATGTAAAGGTTGCTACCCGCTGAAATGAGCCGTGGCCTTTGTTCCAAGACGGCCGTGAATCTGTGCTTCGCCGGAAATATGTTTATGTGTTCAAGAAGAGCAACACGTCAATGTAAAATTCCTTATGAAACTCGAAAGTCCGCCACAGAGATACAAGTTCTTTTTTAACCATGATTAAATCGAGGAACTAAACTGAGACAGTAGAGCGGTCGAAGGAAAAGCGTCGGAGCCCTTGAATATGCTTTCAAAAAATTATTAACAGCACTGTTATGTCAAATGGAAAATTCCCAGGATGCGTATAAATGTTAAAATAAAAATGAACCAAATTAGTCAATACTAATTACGACGTAAATGTTCTTAACTATTTAAGCGGAAGATTTTTAAATTGGAAAAAGAAATTCTTTTGAATGACCAGCTATGTCTTTAGACAATAATCCTTAGGACTTTGTTTCTGGGTAGAAATCAAATTACATAAAAAGAGATAATTTTAAAAATATGTATGTGGGGGAAGAACATCCAAGTAATAGGGATAACAAGCATGTCTCAATATCTTATCAAGTTTAAAAAAATATAAAAATAGAAAAAAAAAACCCGAGTAGTAATAATAATAGCAACTCTGCCACAATGATTTTGCAAGTTTTGGAAAAGAGCATAAAAATAGATGGAACCAGTACAAAAATTGGTTATATGTAAATAAACCCATATTTTTCAAAATGACCAACAATTGGAAAGAGAAAGCGTGGGTATCTGGAAAATAACATTTTCTTAATATGTTATGGAATTATCGTCTATAGAAACTTTGACCGAAGTATCCACCAACAATGTGGTCACCTTAAGATGGATCAAAGGTCACGGCCACATCGAAAGGTAACCGGCTTGCTCACTTGCCAAGAAGGCAACCAACCAAATACTTTTTAGACCTGGCTCTTCTATTGGACTGACAACATCGGTAGTGACAGGCCTAATTAAGAAATATTCCCTTGTAAAATTCAAAGAAAGGTGGGATGAAACAAGAAGCTACACACTTGCCAGGGAGATTTAAGTTGTCCTGACAACACTACAGCAAACAAATACTTGACTATGAAAAAACAGAATCTGCGCCTGATCACAGGTATTCTGACTGGACATTGCCAACTACGAAAGCATCTCCATATCATGGGGCTGTCAGAATCTGCACTCTGCAGGGGGAGCGAACAAGAAGATGAAACTTCTACGATTGCCCGACGCTCTCATTTATTAAAAGATTTGTGTTCGACGAGAATTGGCTAAGACCAGCCGATATAAGAGAAGCACCTCTTGGCGACGTTGTCAACTTCATTAAATCTGTAGGCAAGCTTATTGACTCAACAATAAAGTTTGTCTTCTATACGAAATACTATTACTCGTATGAATAAAAAATGAAATTAAAAGATTTGATTTCCGTTATTTCATACCTTAATTTTTTGAGTTGCCTTCTAATAACTTCTCCTTGAGCTAAAACTAATTTAAGTAATTCTTCTGTACTTGAAGGTTGCTTTTCGTTTTGTAGAGCTTGTAATCTTTTGGGATGGATGGTTTTAAAAGCGCTTCTATCAGACCATGTACTTGAATCTGACCGACACCGAGTTCTTCTACTAGTAGGCCTCAAGAGATCGAGTTTTACCCTTCTGAGGGAGATTTTTACCTAAAATTTATAATTCAGTGTTTAATATTAAAAATTTATGAACATATCAAAGTTTTTATAAAATATAGACGAGTGTGCGATCTTCAATAATTATTGAACTGTGGAAAACCTGTTAAGATAAATGAATTGAATTTTACAATTACACACACCTTCACATTATTATTGAAAATTTAAACTCTAATGTAACTAACGTTAATTTTTGTAAGTAGAATAAACAAATATTATTTGCAGTGACAATATTATAATTTGTTTGGGAAATAATGATGACAAGATGACAAGATAACAAGTAAAATTTAAATAGCAATTAATTAAAAAGTCCATTAATTAATTGTAAATAATCGTGGTAGCCTTTCGTTTGACAGTAGTTATTAGACTCTTTGGTTAAAAAATAATTGCTTTAATAATTATTCTAGTAACCTGTGAACAACACATTAATAAACCGGTAACTATGATGGGATAGCCGAGAAGATTAATTAGGCATTATAATAACCCATTTTCAGATGAAAAACATTTCTGTACTTTTACGATAAAGCTGTTCTGGGGTCGTTAATATTTTTTAATATTAAACTTGTTTAATAAGCCTGTTGATTTTAGTGGTTTTTAAATGGAGTAAAATACACCAGGGACTTTCTAATTAAATACCTAATTCCCTACTATTCAGGTGAAGCTTGACACACCCTAGCAATTACTACCTAAATCAATCATCTAAGTATTTTTTTTTGACTTTCTGAATGACCTCGTTTGAAGGTACCGAGCGATTTAAATTTATTGTGATGATTTTTTATAAAGGTTGGTAATGACAAATAATTCAAATCATTCAGTGCCATTCATACAATAAAATATTATTTTTGATAAATAAAGGACCAAAATACTTCGATAGCAAATAGTTCTAAGAATAGTGCTTTCTGATCTCAAAGAATATTTTCAGAATAACCTATGACGTAAATTACTATTAATTACAGAATTTTTATTCTAGAATTGGATTATTGCTAAAACTTTTGTTTTTATTATAGTATATAGTGAATGTTCCTACAAGAGTTTCCGAATGTTCATAATAAATAAAGTTACATCCGAAATGATCACTATGAATTAATCCTCAAATCTCTTCTTTTTAACTCCTGAACTGGCAGGGAATTGTTTCTGCAAGCTTTGCTTTTAAAATATCCGTACAAAAAATAATCTAACGGCGCCAAGTCCCATGATTGCTGTATGTATGTGTGATCAATTGTATGTATAAAAATGATAAAAGCAAAGAGCTGTATGAAAAAAAAAAGGTTTCACTTATTTTTGTGCAAATATTGACAAAAACATGCATTTTATTATCATAATATTGATATTATAATTATAATATAGTTTTTTGGACACTCTGTAAATCAAAAACTGTTAAACTTAGAGCTTTGGCTACAACATATCAAAATTTCGTCAAATTCTGACAGAAGGGCATTGTACATTTAAAACGTGCCTCCTCCTTTAGTAATACTAGTCGGCGACGACTAACATATGATTTTAATTTAATTTCTTAAAAGTAGGTTACTTAACTAAGACATATCAATTGTTTTTTGGGCTATAAAATAAAGCACACAATGTATTAGGCCCACATTATCTAGGATCTGTAGGACCTCGGTATCGTCATGGACGAGGAGTCTCTCTTGACGTACCTCGAAATACTTTGTTCTGGATGATTTGAAATTTGTCTATACTACATTTTGCTGCACATCCATAGAGCTGGATTTCATAGAGCCAGACTGGTTTTAAAATCTGTTTATACAATATATACAGAAAGTTTTGTTTTTCGTCCTAATAGTCAATGCATTTTTTATATATATTAAGTCGTCCTTTTCTTTTTTCTTTGTAGGTACTTTCCATTCTCAGGTATTTTACTGCATCGTAGTGTGGGTCTCCTTATTATTTATAGTTATTAGTAATTGTTCCTTTACTTTGTAGGCAAAGCTAATAAATGATGATTTGCTATCAGCTATTCTTGTTCTCCACGTCTTGTTTTATTTAATTACACTGTTACATGCCTGTTGCTTATTGGAGTTAATCTATAGCTTCTCTTTTGTATCGTTGGTATAAGAAGCGATCATCACGTTTAGTTTGTGGTATATCACAAGTGTACAACAGGTAAAGTATAGGTACCTTGTGGTCCACCTGCTATTATATCATTTATTGTAGAAAATGCTTCATCCTGTTTGATATAGAATAATCTACCAGTAGTATGAGATTTTAAAATCTCAGTACACTGTTTTGGTATTATTTTCTCCAGTTTGTTAATTAGTTCTTTCATGCCAGACCCGATCGAATGCCTGTGCTACATCCAAAATATTGTTGAAAATATTTACTTTTCCTGGTAGGCGTTTTCAAGTATGTCTGTTATGCGGTGAATTTGGTCAATTGTTAAATTCTTGTTCCTAAACTCTGACTGATACGTAGAAGTTAGTTTTTTTCTTTATATTAAATATGTGTTAGTCGCTTTGGCAAGAGTTTCTCAAATAGTTGGGTCACAATTGATAATAGCGCAGTAGATATGTACTTCATTTGGAGGATTTTCATGTTTGGTAATCATTGTTACCTTGGCTTCTTTCCAGACAACTTTTACTTGTTTTAACAAAAATGCTGCATTTATTAGATAAGTGCTTTTCTAGATAGCTTCTATAGAATTTCTTCAGTTATAAGGTAGTAGCCGAGAGTTTTTTTTTGGATTTGTTTTTCTTAATTTAATCTGCTACTTCTTTTGGTGTTATTGGATTATTGTCTAGATATTCACCATCATACGATACTAATTCCTGTATACTATTAATTTCGTTTGGCTAAAAAATGTTGTTCCAAGTGATTAGAGAACGTTTCTGATCTTCTATGGCCTTTTTAGTTTTTCGGTTATTTTCCAAAGCGAATAGTTTCTTTCGCTATGATCTGTTAATTCTGTAAATATTTATTGATGGACACATTTCTAGTGGTGCTATTTCTCTTTCAGAGGCGCTGTTTTGTCTTGTTTTATCATCTGGTGCTCTTGATCTTTGTCACTTTTTCTTACTTCAGTTACTAGTTGTCATATTTCAATGGGATAATTGTTTTTCATTGTTAATATTTTGATATCAGATGTATTTTGCTGTTGAATTTCAATTACAAACGTTTCAACTTCTTGGTTTAATTGTTCTTTAGCCTTTATTGAAACATTTAGCAGTATCCTGTTTAGGGTTGCCACCTTTTTAAAACGTGAATAAAGGACTACGATGCTGACAGGGGCTCCGGTATACAAAAGTCCTTCTACTGAACTTCTAAAAAAAAAAGGCGTCGCCGAGCTTGTAACAAAAAAAAATCCTCCCCGTCATTCTACCGAGCTTCAAAAAAAAAGGTTCTCAGCTTATATATTTTTATATAACCCATGTCCCTTCCAAAGATATCTGCTGTAAAAAAAGACATTTGTCGTAAAAAAAGAGACATTTTAAGCTTTAAAAAGTCACGACATTTTGCTTTAAAAAGGACTGTCCTTTTCAAAAAAGGACAGGTGGCAACCTTAATCCTGTTCAACAATTCTTTCTTAAACTATTCCAGTTAGTTTTTTTTTGTTTACTAGGGTTGGATAATAATCTTTTTATAACAAATTTTTTTTTAATTTAGATCGTTTTCTTTAATTGATATGTAATATGAAGAAATTCTTTTAAGACATAATGAAATCCGACAAGTCACGGATTTTAATTGAATCACTCTGCCAATATGTATCGGGTTTCCAGTAGAGTGATATCAGCAATTCGTTTCCCTTAGTTGAGGATAGTCTGGATCTCCATATATTCGTTTCCTAATTGGTTAGGAATGTTAAGGTAGTCCGTTATTTTATAATTGTGGTACACCAAAGTAATCATTAATTCTACGATATGTAGCTCTTAAACAAGACCCCATTCAAAATAAGTTTAAACAATATAAACAAGTTTGTACATTATGTACCGCTAGATTCCTAAAATAATTGTATTAATAATACAGAATTCTACAAAAAAGGATATCACGAAAACAGTCTTCGATAATAAAACATTCGGAAACTCTCATTGGAAGAATGATAATTATATAAAAATGATAATTATATTTATTACCTCTGTTTGTGCAGTACCCCATGCATTCCAAATATCCAAAATTTTTGATAAATCGTCTAAAGGTTGTTCTACCCCTCGCCATCTTTCTGTAATTTGGTATTGTTGTGAATAGCTTATTGGTCGACCCTGTAATGAATATACATAAACATTATAATTAAAAGTATATCCAAAGAGTACATATAATTCATCGTTAATAATTATTAAGATTGTTTACTCAAAGGTCCATTATTGATCAAATATGATCGTAAATACACAGTACCGAATCAAAGTTGTTATGGAACTGACACGGCTGTCAAACTTGTTTTAAAGAAAAACTAACTTACTATTTGTCAGGGAATGCAATACTGTCTGTAAACAAGATACCTACAACCCAAGAATATTTTTTTATATGTCGCTCATACGAGTTTGGCAGAAATAATGGACCCAGCATTAAATGGGTTGGATCGCAAGTTGAGCTGAAGTTTCAAAAGCCTAAACCATCGAACAGCGGGCATATAGAGCATATCATTGGTTATTATAAGAGACACTATCTTTGTTATTTTTTTATTAAATATGATAATATTTAGAAGCTTCAGTACTGTATATTTCTGGTCATACTGTAGTAACGGGTATCAGTTAGGTCAGAGATTAGGGGCATAAAGATAGGAAACACAACGACCGCGGCAACGATGACGTCATCTATGCGTCTCAGATGTTAACTAAAGGTATACGTCGTTTGTAGACAGACCAGTGTTGCCAAATATTTTTTTTTGAGAGATCCTACAAGTAGAGTAGAAATATGGTATTTCGACATTAATAGATTTACAATAATTAATCGATAATAAACTGTAAGTGTAGTATTCTTTTTAATATTCTTTTTAATAAATAATTTAGCGTAATTACATTGATTAAATTTATTTACAAGAACAGAGAGTGCAGTCGATATTTATACAACTTTCATTATCAGATTTTTAAATTTTCCACTGCGTAGTTTATATCGATGAAAGCGCCACATAGTGGATCAGATGTTAACTGCGTTAAAGCTGGTCGTTGTTAAGCATTGGCTTCTTATGAACGTTTCCTATCTTTATCTCCCTTATTTCTGAGTTAGGTAATACCACACACTTTGATTTTCTTTTACTATACGGAGAATGATCGCACTGCGCAGCTTTCTGAGTGCCTTTTGAAAGGAGATAGAAAACTCCGCCATTTTGATCCCTTATTACGTGTGGCCTACATCTTGGCGTAATATTTTTAATAGGTGCGTTTTAATCATCCGCTTCTGCATCGGAATTGTATGTCTCGGCAGTTGTTTGTTGCTTTGTGGTACCTTGCTGTTACGACTCAACATGAGGTAAAGGAGTTTAATCATACCAGTCGTACTGGCAACACAATCGCTGATATGCCTTTTGAACGTTAATCTCCTATCTAGATGAAAACCCAGATATTTTATTGAATTTTTCGGCTCTATTGCCTGGTTGTTTACTTTTAATTTTTCCTTGATTTTGTCTAATTTTCTGTGGGAAGCTGGGGTATTTTACGTCTCAGCAGCGTTTATTTTCATATTATTTTAATCTAGTTAGGGGATCAACGTTCTACTGATATCAAAGAATGATATGGATATGCAGTCTCCTGGTGGCAATTTCTGCTGACATTGATGTTTTATACACGCAGGTGTCGTCGTTATAGAACGCCGTCTGTATCCCTTTTTGACCCAGTAGCATGTCGTGAGTCATGGTATACAAATGCGGGGTTAGTATCGAATCCTGGGGTACTCCGGCATCAGCTCTAATATAGAATTTCTTGTATTTAATATATAAGTGAATTGTTTTTATAATGCGTACTATCCTGGTCACATTATAAAAACAATTCACTATCATTTTGTAAATTACAATCATTGATCCAGATGGTGTCAAACACTTTTTCGGTGTCTAGAGCCACAAGTACTTTTTTTAGCATGGTGGGCAATATGTTACCTTCTCTGAAATCGTACTGAACCGATGAGATGATTTGTTTGGCGTTGTCAATATTTTGTAGTCTCGTAAGAATGACTTGATCTATGATTTTACCAATTCCAGATAGAAACCTGGACTGACCTAAAGGTTAAAATGGAAAACGATTTAGTAAAAATTATAGATGTATTTAGTCACAAGTTACTTACGGTAAATGTTCAAAAAACATTTTTCGTTCCTTTTGCTAGTTATAAAAATGGTTTGCCGAATTATAATTCATTAAAAATAAAAAATCTCGTTATAAACAGAGCCGATAGTATTCGATATCTAGGATTAACAATTGATTCCCATTTACGCTGGGATAAACATGTAAACGAAATTTGTAAGACCTTAAGGTATTTATTATATAAATTTCGCTACTTAAAATCTATACTTGATATATATCATCTAAAAATCGTTTATTATTCACTAGTGGAATCACGTTTACGATACGGAATTCTCGGATGGGGTGGAGTCTCTGTCACCTACTTACAACCATTAAACATTATTCAAAAAAAAAAAATATTAAAAATAATACATAACAAAAAAGTATCACACCCATCAGACGAATTATTTATAGAATCTGCAGTCCAGATATAAGACAACTATTTACACTTGCTATGATGGTAAATTTACATAAAAATAAGCAGTTACTAATACCTATTCAACATTCATACCAAACAAGAAATCGATCACAACTATTTATTGCAACAAATATTGCAAAAAAAAACCGTAGGCCAACGAAACTTCCATTATCTACAATTAAAAATTTATAATACATTTCCTGATATATACAAAATATACTTAAATACCATCAATTCTCATGCAATGATAAAATCCTTGCTTAAAACATATTTAATATTAAATAATAGGCACATGCTTAAACAACTGTTTGATTGATTCAAGGAAAACAATATATAATTCACACTCTTATCACGCAGCAGTATTTTTGCTAACTATATTTTTTTTACCAATTTAAATTTTTATTATTTAGTTATATAAGTTATAAATATCTTATTATTATTATTATTTTATTATTTTAGTTATTATGTATACCTTAATTATAATTTCTTTTATCTACTGCGTTTTGGCAATTTCAATTTTTAATAAAAATTGGCATTTCCCATGCTCGACTAAACAGTTTTAATGGGGTCAATGATTTATTTACATTGAAGTTACAATACATCGGTCTGACAGAAGAGGCCTTGTGCCGATTCTGTCAAGAAGAAGAGGAAACGGCAGAACACGTATTGTGCTACTGCGAAGGTCTAGTAAGACTGAGATTCCTTACACTTGGAGAAGAAAAACCAAGGGCAACTAGCTATACCGGAGAACTACTTCCCAGTCTATGGAGTCTACTACAAAAGACCGCATTAGACAAGGTACTCTAAACAATGATTAAAGCATATCCACAATAGATCTGAAAAGGTCGAGGTGGGGGAGGCCACATGGCCCATAGTCCTAATTAAATCTAATCTACAATACATATGTTTGTGTATTATTGTAAAACTTTTATATTATTATTATTATGTGTGAATAAATATTATTATTATATTATTATTATTATTATTATTATTATTATTATTATATGTTTACCATCCCTTTCGTGATTTTAAATCCCAAACTTTAATATATTTACCATTAAAATTTGGAAAAGTTTTGTCCGTGAAATGATTTTTTAAAACTTTAGAAATTAATAAATTTTTTCTAAATATCTTCAATAAAAAAAATAGTAATTAAGTTAATTCCGGAAAACGACATTACTGACAGATGCTCTCGTGTAATATTCTGGTTTCTTTTTGATGACGTTCATTAATTTGTACATTGATTACGCATAATATTATTTATCAGTAAATATAGGCAGTATTTCATTACTTCAATTAGCAAAATTCTTTTGAAATCTCCAAATATGGTGGTAATAATCTTTTTTGTAGACAAGTGATGCTTTTCCATTTTTGCTGACACCCCATAAATAATAAAAATCTATGGTTATTTTTGTGTCATTTATAATAATCGCGAAAAACCGAAGAATACATCTTAAAGCAGAGGCGACTGGTGCATAAATGTAAAAAACTAAAAACTAAAAAGGTTAATTAAATCTAAGCTCAAACAAAATTTTGAGTTTACAAATTTTTTTTACATGGGAATATAAAAAAAAATACTGATGCAATCAGTGGCAAAGTCTAGCTGTAATAGCTACTCCTACTTAACCACTAAAACACCAATGTATAAAAACAAAAACAAACAGAACAAAAACAAAAAAATATATTTGCAATAGAGCAAAAATTCCAATAATTAATTTTGTTTTTTTTTTATTTTTTTTCTATATAAAGCTAAAAATAGTATTTAAAAATGAAATAAAATAAAAAAAACTAAAAACTAAAAAGGTCAATTAAATCTAAGCTCAAACAAAATTTTGTATTTTTACTTTGCTATCTATATACAGATATAAGGAAAGTATAGGAATCATGATTTTTTCGACTTCGAGTTTTCGACGGATTTTTACGTTTTGAAGTCCCCTGAATCCGTTTTGACTATTTTCGCGATGATGCGCGCGCGCGTGTCTCGCATAACTCATGAACCGATACACAGAAAAACACGAAATTTTTAACGTAAGTTTTGTTCCAGTGTCCAATGAGCTGATTAGATTTTGGGCAGAATCGGAACATCTGGGGGGGGGGTACTTTATAAGTGGTCATTTTTATATTTTATGGAATATATCTGTTATTTACGTTTGGGGATAAACATTCTTCAAATAAAAGTTACTTCTTATATTATTATCTATAATTTTTGTTGTATACAAAATTTTCCTAAAACGGTCCATATTCGAGAAATTTGACAAAATGTAAAAAAATAGTTTTTTATAAAAATTATTCAAACAAAGTTGTTTGTAATATAATTCTCTATAATTTTAATCCTATACATAATTTCTCTAAAATGGACCTTATTCGAGATATTTGAGGAAATGTGTAAATTTCGAAATTTGAAGAAAACTCAAAAACGGATAAAGAAAAAAACATTAAATTTTAAACTTAAGTTTTATTTCGGCCTGACGTGAAATGATTAGATTTTGGACAAAGTCGGAACATCTGGGGGGTACTTTATGGGAGGCCGTTTTTATATTTTATGGAATATATCTGTTATTTATGTTTGGAG